CATTGTTCTGGAAAGCCCTCACGGAGCGCTTAGGAGTGAAAAGGAAGCTGTCAACAGCCTTTCACCCCCAGACAAATGGAGGGAACGAACGCATGAATCAAGTGGTTGAGACATACCTTCGTTGTTATGTAAATTACCAACAGGACGATTGGGTTGAACTGCTACCACTAGCGGAATTTGCATATAACAGTTCAACAACGGAAACAACACTTGTTACGCCATTCTACGCCAACTTTGGGTACGAATTGGAAGCGTATCGAGAACCACTGGCTACGACGACAGACAATCAGCTCGCTCGTATCCAGGTCTCGAAAATCAAAGCTTTGCACACAGAACTTGCAAGTGAGTTGCAGTTTGTGGCAGAACGTAACGCGCACTACTACAACAAGCGACGTAGTCAGGAGCCAACGTTAAAAGAGGGGGATAAAGTCTACCTTGTACGAAAAAACATCGACACAAAGAGACCAAGCAACAAACTGGACCATAAGAAACTCGGACCATTCAAAATCAAGAGAGTAAAAGGACCTTTGAATTATGAATTGGCACTACCACAGACAATGAACATCCATCCAGTATTTCATATATCCTTACTCGAACCAGCACCACCGGGAGCACCACCAGCCCCACACACAGAAATTCAACCAGTCAACCCAAATGCCGAATATGAGGTCGAGAAGATTCTTGACTGCAGGGTTGTCAGAGGACAGATCAAGTACTTGATCAAATGGTTGGATTACCCACACTCGGAGAATACTTGGGAACCCAGAAGGAATATTACCCAGTACTCGGAGGAACTTCAGGAGTTCCACCGCCGAAACCCAGGTTTACCCACATCTCGTGGTCAGAAGGAAAAGCCTCGAAGAAGGCCGGGTCGAGACCCAGTTCGAGGACCGGGTCAGAGTCGGTAGGGGTAGTGAGTGCGGCCAGCCTGGCCGTCTCTCTCTCCCCCTCCTCCTCTTTCTCCTTTTCCTCCTTTTCTTTCTTTTCCAACTCTTCCGCAGCATCTAACTCGTCAAGAGAGTTGAGACCAGCTGCTATCATCCTTTGCTCCTTAGCATCGAGAGATTCTTCCTCTCTGCTGATTCGCAGGACTTTCGCAATCGCATCTTGTTGGGCTCGGAGGGCCTCGTCGCGAGCGGCCCGTAACTTTCGCCGCTTACTCTCAAGCGACTCCCACTCCGAAACTGAAGGCATTCGATTAACTTGTCGAACATCGCAAGTCTTGCCTTGACGAGTACATTCAGCACATCGGGAATGTTTTTGTCGCGAGGTGCAACACAAGGACGGTCATTCTTCTCACAACGGGAACAAGGCGCCATATTTCTTCTTCCAGTCTTTTCAATAGCGTCACCAAGGAGTCTACTGTTTCGGTCGTTGTGACGATCGGGTGGCATGTTGAAGGGAGGAGAAGGTCGCTGGCCTTCTGACGATATTTCTTAGGTCGTACTTAAGCGTAGGGACACGCTAGGCTAAAAAGGGGATAGTGTCACAAATCACGTGCTAGCACTTGAGGAGTTAGTCCAGACGGGGTTCTGACAGGACAAACACATCATGGCTCTTATAGCAAAAAGGGATCGCTTAGGTTAGTTAAGCGATCCAGGAATTTCTTTGTATACAAGTCACGTGATATATGCAGGTCGACTTCTCGCCTGGTCGAGAAGTCGATTATCGACTATGTCGACAGTCGACATTGTCGACTTCAGGAACACGAAGGTTCTATATAAGACTGGCACGTCTGCCATTAGATAGGAGCTTCGTGCTCAACTTAGTTATCAATCTTATCATATTAGTTTGACATCTTCGATACAAGTAACGAGTTCACTTCCAAGTGAACAGCCCGATAGTCTTCTTCTTATCATAGCATACCAACCAGCGAACACCCAGCCAAGTTTAGTTAGCCAGTTTGAGTATTCGTTACACCCCCCTACCTAAGTCGAGTCGAGGTAGTATTATAGTAGCCGGTCTATTTCTCTTTAAGAGGCGCTAGGTAAGGTTAGTAGGCGATAAGGCTTCCTATAGTCGCGTAAAGTTCGCGGTATTAGTTGTCAGGTTCTTTAAGATACAGGGATTTAATAGAGTTATAATATTAACCGCTATAACTAAAGCTACACGCGGCTACACGCGCAGTAGTAGCTCGGAAGCTTGATTAACGTGGTTTATCAGCGAGTCGATCATATCACCGAGTCGATCACTTTTCCTTGGCACTACCTCCTCAAACTTCAACACACGTTTTCTTCAACTATTTACCATGGAAATTCAAACTCAAGAAGCGCGAATTACTCTAGCTATCGAGGCTATTCGGTCGTCCAAAAAACTAAGCAAACGCTCTGCGGCAAAGATCTACAATGTACCATATACGACTCTTTCCGACAGAATGGCTGGCCGAACCTACCGCCCAGATTCTCAAGCCAATTGTCATAAGTTGACTGAGTTAGAAGAGGAAGTGATTATTCGGTATATACTGGATATGGATTCCAGAGGATTTGCGCCCCGGCTCGCTGGTGTAGAAGATATGGCTAATTTTATCCTTGAATCGCGGGGGGGAAGACGCGTCGGCAAGCTCTGGGCCCATCGATTCGTACAACGACAACCAGACCTTAAGACGCGTTTTAATCGCGTTTACGACTTCCAGAGGGCCTTATGCGAAGATCCTGACGTGCTAGGCGCATGGTTCCGGCTAGTAGAGAATATGAGGGCGAAATATGGGGTTACAGACTCCGACTTCTACAACTTCGACGAGACAGGCTTTATGATGGGTGTTATTTGTCCTAGAATGGTTGTTACTCGTGCAGACCGACGTGGTAGAGGCAAGGCAGTTCAGCCAGGCAATCGGGAATGGGCTACAGCAATTGCCTGTATTAATGGGGAGGGCTGGAGTATTCCTCCATTCTTGGTAGTTCAGGGCAAGAACCATCTCTCCAACTGGTATACCGACGGCGGCCTCCCACCTAACTGGGTTATGAAACCGACAAGCAATGGTTGGACAAATAATGAAACAGGCCTGGAATGGTTAAAGCACTTTGATAAACACACTACAGCTCGTGCAAAGGGTCTGTATCGAATACTAGTTTTGGATGGGCACGAGAGTCATGAATCGGCTGAGTTCCAAGACTACTGTACGAAACACAACATTATTACTCTTGGACTACCTCCTCATTCATCCCATCTAACCCAGCCACTTGATGTTGGGTGCTATAGTGTGTTAAAACGAGCGTATGGTCGGCAGATTGAGACGTTTATCAAGGCCCATATCAACCATATTACAAAGGTTGAGTTCTTTCTAGCCTTTACAGCAGCATACAAGGAAACAATGACAGTCCTAAACTGTCAGTCTGGATTCCGCGGAGCTGGCCTAGTACCATTTAACCCGCAAGCAGTGCTTTCAAAGCTTGACGTAAGGTTACGGACTCCAACTCCCCTCCGGACGTGTAGTGCCAACTCCCTCCCCTGGGTGTCCCAGACCCCTTCCAACCCAACTGAAGCCCTTTCACAATCAGCTCTTGTACGAAATCGTATAGCCTGTCATCAAGGAAGCTCGCCAACTCCACTTTTTCAAACAGTTGCTGCGTTAGCAAAGGGTACAGAGCGAATGGCACATGAGATGACCCTTTTGTCTGCTGAGGTCCGTACCCTTCGCGCTGCAAATGAAGCCCTAAGTAAACGCCGTAGGGCTAAAAAGACTCGTGTCCGCCAAGGAGGGGCACTTATAGTAGAGGATGTACAGGATATGTTAGCTCAGGAGGATGTAGATGATATGTTAGCTCAGGAGGATGTAGATGAGCAAGTACGACGCGACATGCGTGAGGCGGGGGTTGGTTATAAGGAGGGGCAACCTTCTAGGCGGCGCTGTAGAACTTGTGGAAAAGCTGGTCATAACGCGCGAACTTGTCAAGAAGTTATAGATATATCTAGTTCGTCAGATATAGAGAGCGATAATTAATTTAATATATTGTGGTTGATTTATTTAGGTGTAAAGTTCTGTGCCAAGAAAAAGTGATCGACTCAGTGATATGATCGACTCGCTGATAAACCACGTTAGACGTTAGAGGGATTTAAACATATATACTTTCGTACGAAAAAGTCCTAAATTAAAAGGGGGATATCCCAAATTCAGAAATAGTTGTAAAGGTGAGTTTACTATTATACGTTATTGTAAAACGATAAGCCAAGTAATTGTGAGGGTACAGACGTGGAGGAAGCGATGTGGCCCGTGCCCTTGGAACTGTAAATAGCCTCAGATCTTACGATCACTTCCACTCTTTGTAGACAATTTAGTTCTTACGCATAAAGTTGACCTTGTCGCTATCGCACCCTTACAGTAATGTGTTTAGATGTGTGGAATTGGCAAGTCATGAATGCAGAGACACGTGTACACGGGGATCAACGTCGACTGCAGTCTTGGTCCTTATCTATATTGCTGATGTAGATGCAATAAAAGTCGGTGGTCCACGATAGGGAGAATGCGAAGTCGGAAATCCAGGGATCGCGGGAAGGAGTGGAAGAGAAGGGAGGGAAGGTCTAGCCTTGAACTTCTGAGTATCTCGGGTGAGAGGCTGATTACTTGATAGAAGTTTACATTTGAGTGGTAAAGAACATATCGACGTTTTTCTGGCGGATTCCCAATCTTTTCCCCAAATGGTATGCTAATTAGCCTATTACTGGTAGATTGAAGAAAGTTAATGGAGATAAGTGTTGGCTATGGGCGTGTCATTTATCTTTACATCAGGCTACCAAGCCTCGATGACACTTCTGCGTCTAGTAATCACCTAACAGCTCCATGTAGAGTAATAGATTCACGATTAATTGACGGTAGTCAATCAGTATTTACTTGTTTACTCTACCATAGAAGGTAAGACTAGTATTACTGAAACAAAGTTAATTAATGGAGGACTATCCTAGAGATTTGACAAATCAATTAATTGACTAAATTCCAACTGTATGTAACCAAGTATGAGCATCCCACTCCGCTCAAATTCAAGGTAACGGACTATTCCCTACCATTATAATTCAGTAAGCATGCGTACTGCGTCTCCGAGCTCTTTGAGAGTCTTCTTATCTCTAGGAATAGTGTGCCCCTTTCCGTGATCGAACTAGAAATTGGAAAGATCAGCTCTGGTCATGAAAAGAATTTGATAGTCCAAAACCAAGTAACAGTAATCGAAAACTGCCAAGATAGCAAAAAGTCAACTTACTAGAATAGCATTATCTTGGTCGCAGACATTGAACAACGCCATTGCTCCCGCGAGGTATGGGTCATCAGCTCCAACGCAATGAAGAGTTGGGATATCAATAACGTCATCCGTGTTATCTACCAAAACCATAGTATTGGAGTCAGAATCCAGTGGCGGCCAGCCGGCAAAAAAGACTGCCTGTGAGAAACTATCAGTACCCAAACAAGGAAATGAAAGGTATTCATACTCTCTTAATTCTTCGTGGTCTCCCTTCACTAGCAAACAACTTGGCCTCCTCCATAATCAAACATCCAGCAGCCACAGTGCCCTCGGAATACGCACAGATCCCATCGAAAGGGCCATGTTCATCCATGGTACGGTAGATGGCCGAAAGCGCATTGCTGATATTTTGTCGGATACTGCTGTCGCCTTGTGGCATGAGTTCGCGCAATACATCTTCTGGGGTTTCACCTTCTGGAAAATCTCGGACTCGTTCCAGAACATTGTTCTTTTGAATTCCGTCGTAGTCGAAGAACTTGTATAGAGGTTTTGGTCCAAAGTAATCTTCGAATCCAACAGGAGGAGGACACTCGATTTGACCTTGAGTGAAAAAGAACTCTGCGCTGTCATCGGCTGTGAGTTGTTGGCAGAATGGTGCTCGTAGAATATCAGCACAAGACTCCTATCTCTATAAAGCGAGTGTATTTACCTAGTTGGACCCTAAAGTTCTAGGAAAAGTAAGCGAGGGTTTTACAGATAATGTAGGTCATATGGTGTACCAACCTTTGCGCTGCCATATGCACCTGGCAGGCATAGAAAACGCATCTTTTCTCGAACAGCAGATGGCATGATGCCTCGCAAATTTGATTTCACTCTGGGAGGGTTGAAGAATTGGTATAAGAAATGTTGGCGAGATTTGGAGAGGTAATAATCTCGCTTTGAGAGAAGTAAAATATCAGACTTGAAGGATCTTTTGAAAGCAAGAGCGGTGGAGAGAAACTATTTTCAGAACAGGTAAGACTATAGTCCTCGAATTTCGGCTTAGGATTTCTTTTCGATACAGATTCCGCCTGGTGATCTTGTTGTATGCGAGACATTTCCTCGGCTAAAGACAATTGTGGACTCGAATTGTGATTTCAAGATCTTGGTGTACCCCATGGTCGAGAGAGCCCGAAAGGGACTTAGATAGAGGCTTATCATAAAAAGTAGCCTCTAAAGGCGTTCTATTTTGTGATAACGATAGCATCCTGCATCACAGAAGATCCAATGTTGGAAAAAGGTGGAGTTCTCAACATGTTTGGGCACATTTCTTTATTGGGATGTTGCACATGAGCTCCTTCTATTCCCCTAATTAGCTTGATAGAAGCCCATCGAATTTTTGTTGGGGCATGTCGTGCAACGCGGGCATTGTACAAGAGGCACAGGAACCGTTCTTGGTTTGCTTGAGTTGTGAACTTGTGCGACCGGACACCTTCTCCTTCGCCCCGAATAGGTAGGCAGATCCATATCACCACGTTCGATCACGCATTAATCCCAATCGCCACCTCCCCTTTGAGGAATTGAGACACTGTATCATAAATTAATTTTCTAGTGTTCTGCCATGCCAAAGAGCGGAGACTTTTTGCAGGAAGCAGCTCTATGGCGAAGATTACCCACGAATAAATTCGGTTCGCTCATATTGCATACAGGTTGCGGTTATGGCTGTTTCCCTAACAAGAAACACACTATACACTCAAGTGGAGCCCTTGAGCTCAGGGAATCATGTGGAAATGGTGATCTACAGAAGTAGGGCATTTTTAGATCCAATTCAATATTTGCCCTTGCAGGCGTTCGAGAAATGAATGTTTGGTGGCGCAAGGTATATAACAACCAAACCAAATTAATAGTAGGATCGTGGGTGGCGGACAAGATTAGTTTTATGGTTGAACGTCTACAATAACTCAAAAGCCAGCCTTAGTCCGAAACTAAATTGATGACTCGTCAGTTTCATATGCCGAAGTGGCAAAGGGACAATAATTTGACAAGTACATCAAGAACCCACATGAAGAATGTTTTCCTGACATTGGGGGTCATGGTTGTCATTTTTCGGTAGATCATTGGCAAATTGGAGCCGCTCGACATCTTGACAAGTCAACCAATAAACAGTGACTTGCACAGATATCTATACCTAGACAACTCGCACTGTGAGATTTCCATGCTTTGGCGTTCCTCGGTTGAGCTCATCACAACAAACAGTGAAGGCATATATCTTTGCGAGAAAAGAGTATCCGAAATCCAACATAAGCGATACCAGCTCTATGATTTGGAGATGACCATCCAAATGCTGAGAGAAGCATGGAGGTACTCGAATCAGCACTTCCCGCAGGTAGGAGCCCTTTCGACGCCAAGGTGATACGAGAGCCCCTGTATGTCGTGCTATCTTCAGTTCTACAGTACCAGTTATGTATTGATCGATCGTGTGTTAACATCAGTAGTCTAGAGGCTTGTCTAGAACGTATCCCTGTAGCATCCAAGCTATCATTAATGAGAAGCGGTTGATATCCGGTATTCAAATCCCTCACAATACCATGGTATTTTGGGCTCTGGCTGGGAGAAGTATGGATATGATTGTGGCTGATAAGCTTAGGGAACAAAGTAGACGGGGTTTCCGTGAGATTGGTCACCGATGCACCTGCGCTGTGCACCAATCCTTACGTACTGTTCTTCAATGATACAGCAAGAAAGGTTGTACCCGTAGAAGGGTGGGAGAGTCGAGATCCAAACAATAATGCAACAGAAGCAAGCCGCAATATAGAAGGAAGTGGAGTGGGTTGTTGGAAGATAAAAAGAAGCCATTCACATCGGAGAAATTCGTGGTGGGGATATGCATGCAATGCTATGCATGTTTGTTTGATAATCCACCTTTAGCGGGGGTTTAACCCTTTTTAGCAGTTGGGGGTGCGGTAGCCGTCTTGGGCATAGCGCGATGCACAATTGACGAAGTGTGGCCTTGAATCCAAGGCACCAAGACACCCGGGCGCTAAACATCTCTCGAACCGCTTAAACCTCTCAAACCTCGCAAAGCTCTTCCCCTCTTTTGATTCTTGTCAACCAACATCTATCCCCTCCATCTATCCCTCCCCCCTGGCAGTTGCCCTTAGCTCTTCTCAACAGAGCAAGTCGTAATCTAATGCACTCGGATTTTTGGTATCACCTCCACCATCCTCAAGCCCTCTTCCTATCAATAAACCCCCACGAGTTCTGCTCTATCACCTGTCTTATTGCCATTCCCCCCCCATGCCCATGCCAAGCGCAATTAAAGTCACGATGCGAGATTGGCGACCCTTATTTTGACTTCACGGCTGGTTAGAACACTCCATTCAACGACCACCTTCCTGTCTTCAACGCCGTTGTTTGGTCTAGGATGCCGATACTCGGTATGCAAATGCTCCATGGTACCAAGGGTTCATTCCCAATCACTTTGGCATGCGTGTTCATGAAAGGGCTACCGTGTTCATGTGCGCACCCATATTCGACGTTATGTGTCTAGCATTGATGGCGAGAGTTTAGTGCGTGTTTTAGACACAATCTCTGCTGTACTTGAGATGTTTCCGTACCGGTATTTTATTACACTTTCAGCAGTAACCTTTCAGCTAGGGCCTTCCGCCTCTCGGCTCTCGGATCTCTTTTGCAAGTCCGCAAGATCTCCAGGTTCCATCTTACGTTACTGTACGATTTAGTTTTTGGTTGTGGCTCAGTCTACTAGTGTTTGCTTGCCTCAACCCCCCAGAGTCTCGCTAATGTGGAAGACCCTTGTTCCCTGAAAATCTTTGTTCCACGAGACAATCTATTCCGTGAAGGATTCTCCTTTGCGAGAGCCTCTCCTTCCATCAAAGTGTCTTTTCTATCAGAGTTATCTGTTTGCAAGCTTCGATCCACCCACCCTCTGTCCAACTTCGCTTATACGATGCACAGGTGATGTAAAAGATGTTTACAACTAGCTTGGTTAACATCATTCTTGGCACGGATGGAGATCCTTTTCGAACCTTGTTTTGGTGTCTGGATCGTCAGCCAAGCCATTTATATCTTTCGAAGCTAAAGAGCCTAGAGGGAAAGCCCCTACTCCATGGTCTTGCAATGTGTCCCAAACTGGCGTGAAAGGCTTTAAGCGAGTGGTTGAGATGCCTCGATTCGTCAAGGGCGATCGTACTTCTCGCCAAGATTAGGGCTTTCCCTTCCACCGTTTTTGCCATTCTCATCACCGTCATACGTTTTTTTAGAGCTATGCGGATCCGATAAAGTGGCACATGCAAATTTAAAGTACCATCGAGCTTTCTTATTTGACATGTTATGTCTGTTATTCCTCGGCATAAGTTTCCTTTTACTGCAAGATCTTCTCGACAACTTCCTGTTCTAGAGCCAATAACCTTTTCCAGGAATAGGAGTATTCAGCCCTTGTTCATTTATCCTTTTTACAAGCCTCGTGCCCCTGTGAAGAATACAAAAGACGAGATGAAGTACCCTGTCCTCAAGATGGAGGACCCTTGTTACCCCATTTATCCAACATGACCGATTGCCTCATAAAGCTCGGTTACCTCTGTCGCAACTAAATTTATTCTGCAGCTACCCACAGGCCAATTCATCTCGATCATGGCTCCATCCGCAATACCTGAAATACCTGCGAGTGATGGTGGCAGTCCGCCTCAACAGATGCAATCTGAAGGCGAGACTAATGGTAGCAGCAGCCATGCTGCAAACGACCATGCAGTTGAAAATGGAGTTCCAAAAACACTTGCGAACGACCACGTGGTTGAAAATAGAGTACCCAAAACGCTTGCAAAAGACCATGCGGTTGAAAATGGAGTACCTAACCCAAGTCAAAGCACCACAAATGAAGGCAGCACAAGTGAAGGCAACACAGATGAAGGCAACACAAGCATGCCAGCTGCGATGGAGATCGCTATAGTTGGAATGGGTGCGTACCACTCTCTATGATACACCACCCAATACTGAAGTCAATCTAGGTGTTCGTTTGCCAGGCAGTGTAACAGGTCCTGATGAATTCTGGGAGCTGTGTAGCAGAGCACGAAGTGGATGGTCACCTATTCCCAAAGAAAGATTCAATCACGAGACGTTTCATCATCCAAATCCAGACAAGATAGGATGCTACAATCCACGAGGTGGCCATTTCTTGTCCGAAGACATTGGATTGTTCGATGCTCCCTTTTTTAACCTTACGGAAAAGGAAGCGATCTCTCTTGATCCACAGCAACGTCTCCTACTCGAATGTACATATGAAGCATTGGAAAATGGTGGAATCACAAAGAAACATATTGAAGGGGAAAACGTTGGTGTATATGTCGGCGGAAGTAAGAATAACGATCTCTTTTTTCTAGAAATCTTTTGCTACAGGTATCTGTAGAGTTGAACTCCAATCTAGTTTCCTCATAGCTTCTGTGTACACAATGCTCACACTGACTCGCACAGGTTTCGCGGATTACGAATTACGGAACTGCAGAGACACTGACACAGCACCGATGTACCAAGCCACTGGCTGCGCAGCTTCACTTCTAGCAAATCGCATTAGTTACTACTTTGGCCTGAGTGGACCTTCTTTTACTTGCGATACGTAAGCTCCTAACACCTCCATACTTTTGAGTAACCACACTGACCCACCCCTTACAGAGCTTGCAGCTCTTCCCTGACAGCGCTTCACCTTGCATGTCAATCTCTCCAGAGTGGCGAATCAAAACAGGCGATAGTTGCAAGTTGTCACCTGAACCTACTACCTGATTATTTTATTATTATGAGCATGCAAAGGTATGTAAAATCAAATTTCGTAGGACCGTTCGTCATCAAATTTTCACAGGGCATTTGACTTCACGTGATGATCATTACTCACAAATAATTGTAGTCTATTCTCTGATGAGGGCAAATCATACGCGTTCGATCACAGAGGAAGCGGATTCGGCCGAGGTGAAGGTGTTGGTTGTGTTATTTGTAAGCTTCAATGACCCCTGCAAGACCTACTGCATTTCTAAATTCAAGATTGCTAACTTCATTCCGTTGGCAGTAAAACCACTCGCTGATGCTATTGAAGATGGCGATGCGATACGTGCTGTTATTCGGGGGACTGGCATCAACCAAGATGGCAGAACTAAAGGTATCACTATGCCCAGCGGGGATGCTCAAGTTACTTTGATGAAATCTGTTTATGAAAAGTCCGGGCTGGACCCCACTGAAACTGGTTATATCGAGGCCCACGGGACTGGCACGAAGGTGGGAGACCCCATTGAAGCCACTGCGATTCACAGTGTCTTTGGCGAAGGTCGAACGAAGAGGCAACCTTTGTTCATTGGTAGTGTAAAAAGGTGAAATCCAGCCCTTATACTTGGCGTAATTCTCCTAACAGTTTTCAGTAACATCGGTCATCTTGAGGGTGCTTCCGGAGTAGTCTCTGTTATCAAGACAGCAATGATGCTGGAGAGGGGATTCATACTTCCCAACGCAGGTTTTGAAAAAGGAAACCCCAAGATTCCTTTGGACGAGTGGGGAATGAAGGTTGCCATCTCTCAACGACCCTGGCCAAGAGGGAAGAAATATGCTTCGTAGGTTTCTGCTGAAATGAATTATGCCAATTACTGACCTTTCTGAAGAGTTAACAACTTCGGGTTTGGAGGTGCCAATGCCCACGCCATCCTTGCACGACCTCCAGCTCCTGTGAAAATGGTTACATCTGGAACAAATGATTCATCAGCAACTGGCACGAAATCAATCCCAAAAAGAATCTTTGTCCTGTCAGCGAATGACAGACCGGCTCTGGAAAACCAAATGACTGCACTCACGGTTTACCTAGAACAGCGCCCTGAGGTATTCCAGAATTCGCTCCTACCAAACTTGGCTTACACCCTCGGTCAACGTCGAACTGCGCTAGCCTATAAGCTGGCAATCCCGGCTAGATCATCGGCTGAACTCATTCCTGCTCTGGCTACGTCAAGCATCACACAGTTCAGATCTACTACCGAGCCAAGAATAGGGTTTGTTTTCACTGGCCAAGGTGCACAGTGGCATGCAATGGGGAGAGAATTGCTTGATGCATATCCAGTATTTGCCTCTACAATGGAAAGAATTGACAAATGCTTGGCTAGCTTGGGCGCCGAATTCTCTCTTCTAGAGGAACTTTCCAAGGACGCTCAATCATCTCGTGTGTCCGATGCACAAATAAGTCAACCTGCATGCACCGCTATACAACTCGCCATGACTGATCTTTTCAAATCCTGGGGTATTTCGCCAATTGCTGTTGCCGGACACTCGTCAGGCGAGATTGGAGCGTATGCGATTTCTCTTCTTCTCCTCCCTTTTCCCTTTCTACTGTCGTCGCTCGACTCAGAGATAGATGCTAACTTTTTCAGTGCTTACGCCACCGGCTCTCTTGTACTGGAGGCATGCGTTGCAATTGCCTACTTTAGAGGACAGATGATCGTCAGCTTGAAGAAGCAGTTTCCTGAACAAAAAGGTGCTATGATGGCTGTCGGAGGTTCGGCCGAGGACATCGGACCTCTCCTCGAATCATTGAAGGAGGGCCGTGTTACCATCGCTTGCATCAACAGTCCATCCAGCATCACTGCGTCGGGTGATGATAACGCCATTTCCGAATTACAAGACCTGATTGAAGAGAAACAATTGTTTAATCGAAAGCTTCGCGTGGATACCGCTTACCATTCACATCATATGGAACTTGTGGCGGATGAGTACATGTCCACCATAAAAAACATAACTCCCGAAAATATCTCTGGTGTGACCTTCCACTCTTCACTGTTAGGAAACAAGGTTGAAACAACCGAGCTCGGGCCCGAGTATTGGGTCAAGAATTTGACTTCAACTGTGCGTTTCTCGGAAGCTGTAACGAGCATGATTCAGCCGATTGACGAGGCTTCATCAGTCGGGGTTGATTTTATTATTGAGATCGGACCTCATGCTGCTTTGGAAGGTCCCGTTAAGCAGATTCTTAAGGCGATTGGCGGCAATGCTACGAAAATCCCGTACGGATCGGCACTTCTTCGGAACAAAGATGCTGTAGACACCACATTGGACCTTGCTGCTACACTATTCACAAAGGGAGCTCCGATTGATTTTGGAGCTATCAACTTTCCCATTCCTGGAACGAAGAATCCCATTGTCCTGACGAACTTACCGAAATATCAATGGAATCATTCCAAGAGGTACTGGCACGAGTCTCGAATCGCCGAGAACCATGTGTCGAGGCGGTTTGCCAGAAATGATTTGGTTGGAAATCTTGCAGTCTACTCCAATGATCTAGAGCCTACTTGGCGTAATATTCTAAGAGCTGACGATATGCCTTGGATGCGACACCACAAAATGCAGGATATGACTGTTTACCCAATGGCAGGTTACATTGCAATGGCCATGGAAGCAGCACAGCAGCGAGCAATCATGCGAAATATTTCTTTTGACAAGTTTGAACTTAGGGAGTTTACCGTCAGCCGCCCATTGGTTATCCGTGAGGGGGCTGACGTTGAGGTCAACATCTCACTCAGAGCCCACGCTGAAGGAACTCGCTCGTCTTCCGATACTTGGGATGAGTTTAGAATCTTCTCTTGGGACAAAGATCGATCATGGATTGAGCATTGCCGAGGATTGATCTCTGTTCAAAAGATCCAAGATGGGAATGTTGTGAATGGTGCCCAATTGAAAGTTGATGCCAAAAATGATTTGATGGCTAGAATCTCAAAAATCACAGAAAAGTCAACCACCGATGTCAAAGCAGGCGATATGTACGACGCTTTGACAGCTGCTGGAGCCGATTATGGAGAGATGTTTAGGGGGATGGAGAACTGTCGCGCCAGCAATAACACTGCTGTAGCCGAACTTATAATCCCCAACACTGCAACCATCATGCCTCATGGACATGAGCCTGATATGATCATCCACCCCGCTGTCTTGGACCAATTTATCCAGGCAGTGTGGCCAATTTTTGGGGCTGGTCGAGATGGTCTTGGTGTTCTTTATATGCCTTCATTTGTCCAGAGTATCTCTATATCAACGGGTATCACTCGAGCGAGTGGGGAACGTCTTAATCTCTACGCAAGTGGGACACCAACGCCCGAACATCCAGTCCCTACAAAGCTGGACCTTTTTGCAACTGCCATCGGTGGAAATGATGCATTGATCAGCATGGAAAGTCTTGTTATGACCCCCGTCTTTGACGGTTCAAACCATTCAAGTTCGATAGCTAACCGTGAGCTCTGTTACAAGATGGAGTGGGAAACTATTCCTTCGAAGGAAGAGGTTTCGAAGGAAGACGAGAAAGCAGCCGTTGACACACTGTCAGAACTCATCGATACACCAGTCGTCATCATCTGCCATGAAACAACGCAGCAGGAATTGGTAACAGAATTTGTAAGTCTTTTGGAGAAAGTGACGAAACAAACACCAGAAATTGGCTCCCTTGATACCGTCTCAACGGAGGGAAAGATCTGTATCGTTCTCTCTGAGCTGGAAACACCGGTCATTTCCAACATGGACTCTGAGACCTTTCAGTATGTCCAACAGATGACAACTTCAGCATCTGGTATTCTCTGGGCAGTCCGAGGTGCTTACACATCTTCCGAAAATCCCGATGCTGAGATGGTAATTGGAATGGCAAGATCAGTTCGCTCGGAAACTCTGCTTAAATTTGTCACTCTGGATTTGGGTACCACACCACAACTTTCCACTTTTGGGACAGCGGAAACGATTCTCAGAGTTATGAAGAATACTTTCTCGCCTGACTCGCCAACTATTGGAGTTGACATGGAATACCAAGAGCGTGAAGGCGAGCTTTCGGTCCCACGTATTGTTGATGATGCAGACATGAACAAGTTTGTTCACCAAGAGACAGCAACTGAATCCTCAGCATTGGTACCAGACCTTCAGCCATTCTCTCAGCCAGGTAGACCACTCAAGATTGCCATAGAGACGCCAGGTGCCCTTGACACACTCTATTTTGTCGATGATCTTGCAGTTGGAAGCGCCCTTCCAGATTACGAAGTCGAAATTGAGGTCAAAGCAACCAGTATGAACTTTAAAGATATCATGATTTCCATGGGTCAATTGAGCAGCAACTACATAGGTGTTGAGTGTGCTGGTGTGATTAGTGCTGTGGGCAACAAAGTTACAGATCTCGCGGTCGGTGACCGAGTCTGTGCTATGAGCGAGGGAGCATACGCGACCTACACCACATGTCTCGGAACCAGCGTCCAGAAGATTTCTGACTCCATGTCATTTGAAGATGCTTCAACGATACCTGTCATTTTCTGCACGGCTTTCTACTCACTTTTCGACCTAGGACGTCTTGTAAAAGATGAGACAGTCCTTATCCACGCAGCAGCAGGTGGCGTTGGTCAAGCGGCCATCATGCTCTGTAAAATGATCGGCGCTGAGATTTTTGCGACTGTTGGAAGTGTTGCCAAGAAGGAGTTTTTGATGAAAGAATATGGCATTCCAGAGGACCACATCTTTTATTCTCGAAATACTTCTTTTGCGAAATCGATCAAGAGATCTACCAATGGCCAGGGCGTTGACTTGGTTCTCAACTCCCTTGCTGGGGATCAGCTTAGGGAGACTGTAAGTGGTTGGTTTCTATTGGTTTCTGAAGTACCCTACTGACTCCAAGATTCTGTAGTGGGATAGTCTGGCACATTTTGGACGCTTTATTGAGATTGGTAAACGTGATATCGTCAGCAACTCGAGACTTGAGATGGCTAGATTTGAGCACAATGCCTTGTTTGCCTCGGTAGATCTCACTGTTGTTGCTGCAGAGCGCCCAAAGATCATGAAGAGACTTCTCAAGGATGTCTTTGATTTAGTTGGCCAGGGAGTCCTTAAGCCAATCTCGCCCATCACTGTATTTCCTATTTCGGATGTGGAATCAGCTTTCCGAACCCTTCAAGGTGGCAAGATTATGGGTAAAATCGTCATTGTCCCCAAGAGCGATTGTCAAGTCAAGGTAAGTTTTTCCACAATACCTGTCGCAATGAATGATCATACGGTGCTAACATCTCTAGGCAACTCCTGCAAGGATACCTAATAATCTCTTGAAATACAACGCCTCGTATGTCATTGTTGGTGGTACCGGTGGTCTTGGTCGCAGCATGAGTAGATGGATGATGAGCAAAGGTGCTCGTAGCATCGTTCTGCTTTCACGTAGCGGTTCCGCCACCGGAAAGGTTGCCGAACTCATCACAGAGGCAGCCGAGCTTGGAGCAACAATCACTGTTCTTCCATGCGATGTTGCGTCCAAGGAAGCTGTCGATAAGCTCATCAGCACTGATCTCGTCAGCCTTCCACCAATTCGAGGTGTCATCCACGCTGCGATGGTTCTTGACGATGTCTTATTTGAGAAAATGATATTCTCTCAATGGGATAGCGTTGTTAAGGCCAAAGTAGCAGGCGCTTGGAATTTTCACAACGCTCTTCTGGCTACGTCAACTGATCTAGACTTCTTCATTGCACTTTCATCGGCTGCGGGAACTGTAGGCAATAGGGGCCAAGCAGCATATGCAGCAGCAAATACTTTCCTGAACGCTTTCTGCCAATACCGCAATCGCCTGGGTCTACCAGCGTCCTCTATCGATCTGGCGGCTGTCAGTGATGTTGGTTATCTCGCCGAGAACGCCTCCAGAGCAGCAGAAGTCGCAGAGAATTTAGGCAGTGAGACAATCTCCGAATCAGAAGTTCTAGCTTTGATTGCAGCTGCCATCACCGGGCGCATGCAAACCACTTGCCGAGACCATGCTATTACTGGACTCAAGGTCTCACCAGAAGACCAGGATCCATTCTGGCTTGATGAAGCGAGATTTTCCCATCTCAAATCTGCAGCTGCTGCGTTGTCCGCAGCTTCCGACGCACCATCTGCCAATATCTCCCTCTCTGCCGCACTCAAGCAAGCTAAGAGTCACGAAAAAGCATTAAATGTGGTGATGGATGGGTTGATCACCAAAGTCTGCGCTGTTCTCATGGTCCCTAGAGAGGAGATGGATGCTTCTAAGCCAATCGTGGCGTACGGTTTGGATTCTCTTGTTGCAATTGAGATCCGCAACTGGATTACTCGAGAATTAGAATCCAGTCTCCAGGTTCTCGAGTTGTTGACGAGTAGCAGTATCCGAGCATTGGGTGAGACTATCTTGAGCAAGAGCAAATCGGTTGATCTTTCCAAGTTTGCTGTCGAGGCTGAGGAAGTGGAGGTTATCAAGGAGATTGAAGCAGAGGAGAAACCTGAAGTCAAGAATCCTGAGAATCCAGAGGTTGAAGTTAAAAAGATTGAAGTAGAAGTGATGAAGGCTGAAGTCGAGGAGAAGAAGATTGAGATTGAGGAGAAGAAACTGGAATTGGAAGAGAAGGAGGTTGAATTGGAAGAGAAAGAAGTCGAATTAGGAGAGAAGGAAATCGAATTAGAAGAGAAGGAAGTCGAATTGGAGGAGAAGCAGACTCAATTGGAGGAAGCAAAGCCTGCAGTTCTTGAAGCCGCCAAAGAGGAATCAGCATCTATCACCAAATGTATCCCAGCAGAGGCTGTTGAACCATCGACGGAGACAAAGGCTGAAGTTGTCGAGGCCGCCAAAGAGGAACCAGCATCTATCACCGAAACTATCCCAGCGGAGGTTGTGAAACCATCAAAGGAAGACATTGTTCTCGGAGCTACAACTTCTCCCCGCCAACCATCTCTACAATCTCTGAACGACTTACTGTCGACTACTAAAGTTGTCTCCGAAACACCTCCAGTCGATCACTCAGAAGCAAAACATAACCCACCCGCCACCACTTATGTCAATGGATCGTCTACTTCGTCTGAAACTGCACGCTCTGGTGATTCGAGTCCAATAGAGGGATCACTTGCTTCTTCATCGGTGGACGGACATGTTCCCATGGACGTTCATATTTAGGTTGAGAGTTCATATACCATAGCTTTTTTTCGATTTGGGTTCTCATTTTATAGGGATTGCGTTTATATATCCGGTCCATTTTCTTTGGGGCTTAGTTCTATTTGGGACGGTTTTATTAGGTCTGGTTTGTTTTTGTCTAGGTATGGGATGGGATAGGACTTGTGGTTTACGTATAAAGATATATATATTATTCATTCTTTTCTTCTTAATCACTATAGTCTCTTAAAGTGCCTAATAAAGTCTTCCCTTTTCCCCTTCACATTTCAGCATCTTCTGATGGCGATTATGTTATACTTGAATTCCAGGTGACTTTCGTACTCCGTGTTTCTTTACTGTATAACCAACCTAGGATCTTTTTATTACCTAGGTATACACGAAATCCTGATCATATAGGAAGACTAACAGCTACGAAGTCGTATTTATTAACCCCCACGTGAAGTAAGTCCACCAGTGACCTAAAACCACGTGCTATATTCTTGGTATTTACTACTAGGAAGTTAGAGTCGGGAGAGCTCTATAATAACTTGGCCTCGTTAGAAACGACCTGGTATAGATAAAATAATTATAGTAGTATCTCTAGGTTATTAGAAAGTATATAGTAATAATTATTATATCAAGGTTACCGTAGACGGGTATCTCATGATGCGTTATTAATCAGACAAGCCTCTAAGAAGATTTAGCTGAGCCACAATTAAGGTGATTGATTCAGCAGTGACCGGTCAAGACACTTTTTAGTTTTACTTAGTGCTGGTCAGTGGTTGGTAAAGGTGGAGCAATCGCTCTATACACGATGTCTAATCCCCTGAGGAAGAGCAGGTATTTGAATATTTGAGTTTCGGAGTCTATAGCTATGTTATTTAAGTCGAAGACCTTGGTAGGATATATCATCGTAATATAAAGAAATGTATTATAGAGAGACAAATTAAGGCATTCTCAATTTGTTTCGAAATTAATTTTACCTAAAACGTTAAGTAATGAAGTTTGGAGTATATAGAGCAGTATTACACTAGCTAGAATCTTTCATATCTTTGTAATATCGTATTTATAGCAAGCTACAGAGGAAGCCGTATGCGCGTGCGACTTTTGTTACTATGACTTAGAAGAGTTTATCGCATGTGGAAAGAGAAGCTACTGGATGATGACACAAGATCTTGATAGAAGATCCAGGTCGTTAAGCGGAAGTGTTTTGCATTGTAGCTCGCATTAGGTGTAGTGTTCTCGAATCATCAGTGCGATACTTTTGCCAGACATGAGACTCGGGTTGTCTTGATGGGTCACGGGCTGAGCATCTTAGGGCAAAGATCTGTGTATATTTACTTTATCTAGATGTAGATTTAGACTTGAGCATGCTATCAGAGTGAAGTAACCACCCGGTAGGAAAGGTGAAAACCATTAAGCGAGGCAGTTCGAAATTTGTATCCCAAACGGGAAAGCGTCGGGAAAATTTACTTGAGTCCCCCGGGATGCCAGAGGGACGACAAAGAATGGCGCTAAATTAGCGTGACGCACGCGGCAGTGATATTATCAAAATCTTCTCGCAGTGTACCACTTTCCCACGACATCGTCACCACGAACATGCCACCCCCAATGGCACCTCCAATAAGAGCACCAGGCGGTGACGCGAACGACCCCGATTGGGGTAAACCTTACCATTATGCCCCCCGGATCCATTCTTTGAGGGAGCAGGTCATTGCAGCTGGCGACCTGCAGGGCCCAAATCCGGCTGCGGAGTTCCAGCAGATCCTCGCAGGCAATCTTCGCAAGGCACATGCGATGTTTGGAGACCAGCTCTACCAACTTACCTGATACGCCGAATATCATACTGCATTTGATATCGGTAAGTACATCTAGTTTCCCAGCTTTATTCCCACTACTGACAGCGTAAATAGCTCAGAAAGCTGGTATCAAATACACTGTCGAAGATTTCGGGATCCCGATGCCACCGCCAATGACCCAGGGTGAAATGGCGGCATGCATGGGAAGACGAGCCGCTGCCATAGCAAGCGCTTCTTCTTCCAACGTTGCAGCATCGTCAGGCGGTGCTGCTTCTGAATCCTCCTCTATGGTCGCAGCACTGTCAGGTAGTGCAGCCTCTAAAGCTTCTCCCAATGTCGTAGTATCCAGTGATGCTGTTGCAAAAGCTGCTGGCCAAGCTAGTCAAGAGCAAAGCTTCAACTCATCCAAGTCTAAAACACATGGCGTCACATCTTCCTTGCAAGTGGCTCCAGAGGGCACAGTGAGTGATGAAGGACGGACTGAGGGCAGAATCCCGAGAACTCCAACACACATCTTCCATGGTGAGAATAAGCCCTTGCTCCCCCTTGACGTGAACGAGCGTCCACAGTTCAGCGCATATTGCACCGCGAGAAATGCCTTTTCCGGCTTCATCGGACACGACCAGGAACGTGCGATGTTAAAGGCCGCCGAGGAATATCTTCAGGTTACCCTCAGACTGGCTATCCTACCCAATAACGAGGGCTGCGTTGTATGGGGAGATCCCAGGGATCCCACAGAGCAAACAATACACCCAGAGGTGTTTGCTTCTCGGATGGCTCGTTGTCAAGATTGTCTAGTGCAGTGGGCTAGACATCGCATACCAGGCACAGATGACCTGACTATGAACTTTGACTGTTGGTTTCGCGTCTGGCGATGGAACGAGCTCAAGCGTGAAATCCGAGGACAATCGTCTGTCAAGCCGTCACCGAAGCCATGATCTACGGGACTGTTCGTCGCTGTATTCAATCGCGTCTTCCTTCAGATAAGGTACTTCAAAATGCGAGTCCCCAAAGTCCTTGACCCGCTGAGGACACAGGAAAGACTTTAGTAGAAGTTTTGAAGTGTAATGATGCAGTATCATCATCAGATCTTCCTACCTAGCAGTACACTCGCTATTTACCGCGCTATCAGCTAGCTTTTATCGTCTAATGATGCAGTATCATCACCAGATCTTCCCACCCAGCAGTGGACACGCTATTTACCGAGCTCTCACATAGCTATAATCAAAGGTTGAAGTTTGGGAACGTACACCAGGTGTACGTACCCTTTCACTTCTAACTTGTGTAGAAAGATCCAATGAAACTCTCTACAGACTTATTTGACTTTAATACTTCGTGAATGTGATTAGCGAGAATCAAGAGCAAGATTAAAATACTAACTAACCCTCGCTTAAACCAACAAAACACAACAAAAGAAACGTACCTGACCAGCTTTTATTAACCAGGTAGTAATAGATAGCTTAAATACCTTTCCATTTTCTCTCCTCTACTCTCCTCTACTCCACTCTACTCCCTATAAATATATCTACGCAAACCCCCAAAACCCCAGAGACCCAAAGAAAACAAAAGAAAAAGAAAGAAGAGAAAAAAAAAAACAACGCCCAATTGGTATATCTTCCACATCAACTCAGCAACAAACATGGTATCAATTACTCCCCCCAAGCTCCCTCAACTTTACTAATAAATAATAAATACTAAATTTACCATCGCCAATTCCCACTTTCCAAACAAACAAAAACACAGACAAAAAAGAACAATCTACTCGGAAATCATCAACGTCGCACTCCCCCCCACAACCCCAATCATCACCAGCGCCGTCAAGAACCCCGCGCCCACTCGATCCTTCGTCGTAATCGGCTTATTCAACAACGTCGCCGCCGTCTGACTCGTCGCCCCGGCATCATTATTCTCCGTCGAGTTCCCCGTCCCCTTCACTCGACTCGCCCAATCCTTCGCCTGCCCGACCAGATTCCCCTGCACGACTTCCAGCGCAGCCATCTGCTCTCCAACACCGTTCGAGCCGTCAAAGGCGCCGGTGTCCCATCGTAATCCGCATTGGGTCCCTGAGTTGCCACCGGAACAGGTCTTGACGACTGCGGCGGCGGAGTTGGCAAGGAGGGGTGCGATGGTGGGTTGGGTGAAGGGCGCGATACGGGAGGTGGCGGCCATCCAGCGGGCGAGGTAGCCTTTGAAGGAGCGTTGATCGGTGTTACATTTTGAGGCGACGCCTGGTTGAGTGCTTTCGCAGAGCTCGCGCATGGGGGCGCCGTTGGCAAAGAAGGTTGCGACGGTTTGGTTGAGGAGTCCTGAGACTCGTTCTTGCCATTGAGCTTGGACATTTCCAGTGGTCTAGACGAGTTAGTTGAGACTACTTCCAGAGGAATGATACATACCATGTTGTACATTGATGCTGCTCCGAGGAGATATATTCCAGCATTATAAGTCCATTGGTTGTGGTCCTTGGATGTGCAGTTATCACGGATATTGGTTCCATCAAAGACCTTGTATGTTCCTGGCTCCACCAATCCCTCATTGTACACCCAATCCCAAGTTTTGGTCGCCCAATCCGTATACGTACTATTTCCAGTATACAAAGCCAACCTCGCAGCCAAATTAAAGAAGCAGCCATTCGAAATGGTATTCTTGTAATCGTAACCATTGTTAAAAGGGAAAATCTGCCATCTCAAACCTCCCCCACAAGTCTTGTCATCCCATCGACTCGCTTGAGTATTAAAAACACCTTGTGCTAGCGCTAACCATCCAGGAACTGGTTTTGGGGCTTCAGGGAAGTTGGCTTCTGCGGCCATCATAGCTGACATACCCCAAAATCCCTGATCATCGTTTCCTAGTGTTTTCGTCTGGTTCAATGGCATATAATCATAATCGTCTCCAACTTGATGTGCCATGGCTTGCAAGGTGATTGCGTTGAATGATTCATCACCGGTATAGTACCAATAATTAATCATGGTGCCAAACCTGAAGAATGTCAGTGGCCTGAGATTGATCCGAGAATTCCAAACCTACACTGCTCCCGCTTCCCACCAATAGTAAGGATCGGGTAAATTTCCTGGAGTATCTCCTACACGATTTCCGGTATAGAAACTTAATAGGTCCGTTGCCAAGGTCTTTGCTGTTGTTTTGATTCCAGCTGTGGTTGTGAGATCGGCTACGAGTGCTGCGTTTGCACCTTGTCCAGCAAGCGCGCATAGGGCGACCGCTGGGATGAAGCGCATCGTGAGGGATTATCGTATCGTTTTATATTGAGTGTATTCAAATAGATGATGCGTACTCGAATTGGCGTGTGAGATACTCGAAGATGGTGTGTTCGAGGTATGTACAATAAAGGGAATAAAAAGAGTGTCGAAATGTAGCGAGAGCGAGCGAGTGACAAGGCAAACAAAGACAATCCAAGGGATATTGATGATGCGGTAGAAAAACAAAAAGTACAAAGTAAGCTTAAAAGATAGATAACTTACATTCGGAGCCCGCTGGATTAGAAGATCAATAGGGGAATGTGAGTAGAGAATGACGGGAGAGAATAGGAGAGGAATTACAAACTTGCACAGCACAGCCTTACTACGGATGTTAATTGTGGATAAAGGTTCCCGTACGATGTTGCCAGGGCAGGCTGAAGACCCTGGATCTAAATTGGTTGGTTAAATGGGGAGAGTGGCAGAAGATGACCAATGTCATGAGTGGAATGTTGGATTGATACGGTGGACGAGCCAGCCAAGCATTTAGCCAAGGGAAATCAGGTTCGTGAATAGAACCGCTGAGACCTGAGATCTGACGCCTGACACACTGTGAAGGAGTGCAGATTGCACGACGTTTCGCGAGCCAAAGTCAACCGAGAGGAGCTGACTGTCGCTAATATATCATCGATCCCATATCACGGGTATGTCGTCAGTGAGAATTCTCCGTGGTGATAGGGATGTACTTGTAGTTCGGATGAAGTCAGAATCTCGGGCGTTGCGAAGGCAAAAACTTTAATGCAGATGCGGGAATAAAAATAAGTAAGACCTCGCTTGGCAGGTACCATCACGTGATTAGCCCCAGAAATCCTCTCGCGCGCGTGGAGACTCGGACGCTTTCAAACATTCCCTTCAAACATCCAAAGTCTCTTTCTGTGACTTGACTAGTCACAAAAAAAAAGAGAAGTGATGACAGGCACAACTCGGAATCTAATCACCAACCCATCCCGTAAAAAATTCGATTACGAAAGGAACTTTCCAGCTGCAATAAACATCAAACAGCCCTACACCAACCGAATCACTTCCAGCCTTAACTCAAGCAACAACAAGCTCATCTAGCCAAGTACCATGACCGAGATCTAGAAGGTATCGCCACAATCACGATCGATGACCGACTACGGTATCCCTTTCTTGCAATCCTCGCCCAGCAGATAGTTTCCCCACATCTGTGTGATGTGCGGACATCAAACGCAGCCAAGACAGGACGAACCCCTGTTTGCCTTGAGATCTGCCCGTCCTTAAAACCAGCATCACCCCAATACACCAGAGAGATTCAGCGAACTGATTTTGTTCTTGACACCCAACCTGGAGGGTTCATCTTGTTAACATCTAAAGTCTGTTCAATTGTTCGCTTTATGTCAAACACTCTAAGCGCATGCACAAGCGTGGTCGAGATTGTTTTTGATAAACATATGGCCCGATTCGGATCCATATAAAAGAAAGTCTTCTCCAGATCATTTTCTCGCGAGAACATGGCCCGATTCGGCTTTATGCGAGTAAGTGTTGTCAAGAGATTTTTTCTTTCAGAATACCTCCGCATGGCCCGATTCGGAGATGGATAACACCGTAAGATTCTTATGAAAAGGCTTGTCATGATATGGCCCAATTCGGCTATTGTAAGCGATCAAGTGCTGACGAATGAAGGGGCAAAGTAAGCAATCTTGCGTGATGGTAGAGGGAAACACGCTTTTATTCCGAGATGCTGAATGAACTAGATGCATCCTTTCATCATGCCTGAATATCCTGAGAATATACTTCTTCGCTCTATCTCTCGCCAACCGCTCCTCAGCATCTCGCTTTTTCCGCTCCAAGTACATATCCTGAAAGAAAGCCGGCATATTATCAAAAAGCTGAGGAGGCATCTCATCCACCACAGTATATTTAGCTCTCAATTCTTCACCAGTCATTCCCGTATACCACGGCATCTCAGCATCAGGTAGCGGGACTCTAATGTATCGTATTTTGTCTTCCTCTCCAATGGTACTCAGATCGTGTCCAGGAACTTTGCCAATGGGATATCCCTTCAAGATATCCATACCCCTCTGTATACTTCCCTCAAGGATGACACGGAATGACTCTCGCTGTGCTTGATACCCATCCTCCCTGAATCCCTTGTCGGGGAGGAAAACTAGTTTGCTTGCGGGGATGTTCTCGTTCCATTTCCTCATCATTTCCTCCTCGATTGAGGTATCTCGAGGTAGTTGCTTCCAAGAAAAATGATGTCTGTTCTTTGTCATTGCTTCGTCTATTTCATCTACCTTGCGACCACAGCGACCGAGGGGTTTGTCGTCGTAGTAAACAATCTTGGCTGCGTGGGTTCTTTCAAACTCCTCCTCTGCAATGATCTTTTTTGCGAAATCCATATTGAGCGCCCGTAAAGTCAATGTAATATTTCTCCGAGCTGATGTTTGTGACTTTCCAAACTTCGTGTAGACGTCCAGCGATTTCGTTATGTTCCTTGCCTGATGTATCGATTGTGAAGATGTCGATTTCGGGATTCGCGACTTTGACGGAGACTTCTTCGATGTGGGTGATGACATCTGACATTAATTACCTAGCGTTACCAAAGTAAAAGCGTAAGGATTTGCTGGATAGATGGATGGTAGAACCACGCTGTGATGAAATCTGCGGCGAAGACTTACTCTTGAAGCAATTTCTCAACAAAAGGCTGCATAACAGCAATAGCTTCCATAGATTTTCAAAAAAGACAACACAGCCTGCCTATCCTCCTCATCCTGCCAAATCTCCTCCGGGAAATCATAGAGATAGAGACCATTCAGAAGCTTATCACTACCTTGATGGAGATAAAATCTTCGAACCCTTCTTCTCCAGCTTGACAAAGTTTTTGTCGAACGCCTGCTCTCTGTAAAAGTATTACAGTTCTTGAGTATGCTCCCCAGCACGATACAGACCCTTTCTAACCTTAAGTCCTTTGCACAACACCCTATGTTTTCCAATCCGCCCCTTGACAATGGGTAGAGCAGTACAAAGTACCGGAATGATGTGGGATGTCCTTGCAACCGGCACACTTCAAGTTGGCACTGCCTTGACAAGTGACACATGTGATATCGGGTTGTAAGACTGGTGCTGAAGTGTCTTGTGTGTATGGCCCTTTCAACGTAACATCTTGCAATTTCGCGTCGATAGTGGAAACGCTGGACTCGGAGCTCGAGGAGTTGGCGGAAACTCTAGAAAAGGTCGTTTCGGCATATGTGCTGACTGACTGACGCTACCGGGCTACCGAATTTGCGTAGGAAGACATCTGCGGATAGAAATTGAGCTTAGAGTGGCTTCAAATTCGGAAGTGTTGCTAAATTTGCACGATGGATTGAAGGCGTGGAGAAAGGGTTGTTTACCTTGAAGAAAACGATAGTACGAATTACCGAAGATCGATATCGAGACTGGGGATTGTGAATCAAGAGACTTGGGAAGGAACTCCTCGCAGTTTTCTTTGGTCTCGTTTGTTTGCTAACTTCAGTGGACAAGTGAAAAGTGGTTGGCGAGGGGGGTAGTCTTGGCACTTTCAACAGACTCATGCAGCGACTCGCAGCTCTCTACCTGCGCTGCCTAGACTTACCATTGAAATAGAATAGCACGACCCACGCAAAACTGAAATGTGACAAAATATATTCAATCTATCTCAATGCTATTGTAAATACCGATTGGGTGTAGATACTCTGTGTCTATCCGACCATTAAATTTAAAACTAAACGTCCCATGCTTTTCCAACATACAATACAATACAGCATTACAAACACTTTCGATGAACAATCGACGCGCCAACCTCTGCATACTCTTCCTTGGAGATCCAATGGTTTTCAAAGGTTCGCAAAGATGCAAGCATTGATCCACCAGCCCAAACTGAGTAGAGTCGGTTATCTGGGGCTTCAATCTTCACCTGGATCCCGGCCAGGGACGAGTTACCCGTAAGTTCCTTTTGTAGTCGTCGTTTGAATCCAGGGAATAAAGTGTTACCACCGGCCTAATTTATGTTAGCATCTTCTTTTTGGGATTGTGTGGTTACCTACGAAAACAATGTTTCCAAATAGCTTTGGTCGTAAAGACGCTTTGGCTTTCATGACCGAATTGAAAATCTCAGCACTCAACGCTGGCTGAGAAAGCCCAACCAGAGTAACTTGAAAGTTCGCTTCCGGTGCCATGAATCTCTCTCGTCCCACTGTGATATTTTTCCCATCAGGTAGTTCATAGTTCTTATCCAAAGACTTTTCCGGACGAGCCGCAATCTGAATATCGTACTCGTAATCCTGAGCAACATAGCCAATCTTTTCCTTTATCGCATTGGCGGCTTCCTTTTGATCAACTTGACTGAGCTTGGAAAATGCTGATCCTTCACGCTGATTGAGGATTTGCTTCATGTAGTCGGATATATCGTCACCGGCAACGTCAAATCGACCAGCGATGTTGTGCAATGGGGTTCCATCATGGACTGGGACGACGTGAGAAGTCCCAAAGCCAGAGTCCCAAACGACACCCGTGTCTCTGTTTTGAGCGGCAAGAGCCATCACAGCTGACCATGCAGTAAAGTAGGCTGGTGTTTTGAACTTTTCAAAGAGTCTCTCGGTAATACGTTCATGCTGTGATTTTTGGGTAAAGGAGGCAGTTGAAGCAAAGATTCGTTGCTCTTTCGAATCGACTTGGAGTTCATTGACGAAGATGTGTTGCCAGAGTTTCTCGAGGTCATCGTAGTTGGTGATGTTACCTTGCTCGATGGGATATTGAATGGATAGTAGTCCTCGACGAGATTGGGCTTCGGAGCCAATGTATGTTTCTTTTCTAGTTGACGATTAGTATGATTATCAACATGGGTAGGATGGTTTCGTACTTTTGATCTTTGGAGTGGCCAATGATTGAAGCTATAGTGGTGATTAGCCTAAAGTGTTCTCGAGTTGTTTTGGCAAAGTGATTTTGAAAACTCTTCTCGAAGGATGTGAATAGTAAGCTTACGAGATATCACTTTGGGTGTTTGGTTCCCGCAAAAACCAGCCTTTATTGTTCCTGATCTGAAGAGTTGTTAACATCTTTCTTGAAAGATTTCAAGGGGTAGTATCTCGCGTACCCATTATCAAAGACAACACATTTTGGTGCCATGGTGTTTGTAGGATAGTTGAATTGCTCTATACAATCAGAAGATCAAAATATCAGGATAGATTGGATTTATAAGTTCAACAGATGTTTAGATGCATGAGCAGAGGAGAAATAATCGGTATGGCCGTGTATCAAATGTTTAAAGCGAAAATGTTTGGAAGCAGCGCGGGGAGAAATCGGGATGATTCTGGAACTGGATGGTAGGAAGGATTGGAAGGCCACGGAGCAGCCTTAGCGACGATGCCTAGATGCATCGATGAGAAACGTTGGGATCAACCTGGTCAAGGTGCACCAATATTTGGGTCAATGGCAGGGACGGCAGGGTTAATATTTGTTTCCAAATTCCCAAATATGTTTCTCCCAACCGCCAAACAATCGGAAGATCCGCAACGCGGGGAGATCGTATCCAGCCCCGCTTGGCGAACCCACAAGGCTGGAAATAGAAATAGAATCCATCTCAAACCACCTGCATTCATCGATCCGCAGTGTTCGCTAAGGCACTGTCGATGGGTGGCCGATGAGCGGATGTTTGGATTTGACGACTCCACCAGCATGAACGCGTGTTTGGTGACAGGCATACCGGTACCGGTACGTGTACGGGTATACTTGTACGGGTATACTTGTACGGTATACTTGTACGGGTACAAGTATAGGTTCACCGAATTCCGATGCAGCGGAACACTCCAATTTTGCTCTACCAGTACTTCAAGGTGTCCACCTGTCAGAGTTCGGCTGAACTTTATGGCTCTGGCTCTGGCTCTGGGCACTGCAAACTAAGAAAACGGGTCCAGGGTCTGAAACATAGGGCTACACGTGACACCGCGATAGCCCCGACGTGATCCAACTCCATCCCAGAACGGTCGCGACTACACCACGACCATTCATCTGTAGATCACCACACCACTCATTCATCCGCATACCGCCGCATCCGCCGCATCCGCCACATCTGCATATCACCACATCTGCATATCACCACATCTGCGGCCAGGAGCTGCATCAAGCCTAACCATGTGGACGCTCGAGTGCGAAGGCGATGCGCTTTCCGGTACATTTACACCCCGTGGCCCTGATCAACCACTCCAACGCTGACATCACCCAGGCAAGACGCTATGGCTACGACCCGGAAAGAAGTATGTCATGGGAAGAACGTCCGGAGACGGAAGTATGATACGCTCTAGACAAGGGAACCTATGGGAGTACATGCTGACTCTAAATAGATGAGATAGTGTGCATTGTAGACAAGACCATCTCCAGGAAGCACATCACTGTTGAACTCGACACAATTGAAGCGAGAGATTGCGCATGTCCCCACTCACTTCAAACCTAGTAATCTACTAACACATACCCCAGGCAAATGCTCGTTCCCGATCGCGTGTGACGATAAAGGACCTCGATACGAAGATCGGCACACTATTGAATGGAGAGCAGATCCAGGGCAAGACAGTACAACTCGACCGGGAAGATAATATTGTTGTGCTAGGGAGACATAAACATCATTTTCGGTACTTCTATTTATCTTACAGGAGGATATAGACTAACAGCGGCAGCTTCAAAAGGGTACCACTTGCACTTGCATTCTCCTTTACAGGCAAAGAAAAGAAAGCAGATCCATGGACCGCGCTCTACGAACAACTAGGACCTCTCGATATCAAGGTACTACAAGAGTATGAACATGGATATACCACACATGTTGTGGCCTCGAAACGAAATACACCCAAGGGATTACAGGCGTTAATCGACGGAAAATATATCGTGGATACCACCTACGTTAAAGCGATTGTGGATGCTGCTAAATCCATTGAGGATGACTTTGCAAATTTTCCGGATGCTTTAAAATTTCTCCCCCCGAAAGGAAAAGAACCCACGGAACGCCCGGCCACCGCCTATGCTCCGGATCCACTTCGACAAGATATGTTTGAGGGCTATCTCTTTGTATTTTATTCTCAACAACAGTTCGATACTCTTTTAGCACCCATCACTGGGGGACGTGGAAAGGCTTTGTATCGAGAGGTCATTCCGGATCGAACCACAGTACCGGAGTTTGTCGAATATGTGAAACAAGTAGCTGGAGAAAAAGGTCTTGGGGAATTGGAAGATGGAAGTGAAGGAAAGGGCGTGGTTGTTGTTAAATTTAACCCCTCTGCAGGACAAGGTATTGATTGGTATGCAAATTTCAACACGGAAGTAGCTCTATCTTTGGGTTATCGTTTGATTGAGCAAAATGAGTTTCTTGACGCTATTTTGGGTGGTGATTCAAGTGTGTTACGAAGACCACTCGAAGTTGCTTCATTCTCAAGAAAAGCTGGTAAGTATTGCTACATAACACTACATTCCACACTAACACTTTTAGCTCAACCTGTCTCTCCAGTAGTAGATCGATCAATGGCAGCTCCCGTTTCTGCTCCATCAGAACCCGCACCACGTCCAGCTGGCCGAAGAGGTCGTCGAACTGTAGCTAAATTCCAAGGCTTTGACGACGATTTCAGTCTTCCTGTTAATCTCAATTCTATTCCAGAAGTGCAGCCAACACCTGTGGCTCCCGCAGCTGTTGAAGAATCTCAATCTCTCTTCGTTACCCAACAAGATTCCGATGCCAATATGTGGAGAGAACCATCTGAAGAGCCACTACCGATAGTTCAACCAAGAACAAGAAAACGACAAGCTACACCAATGGATGATGGGGAACGTATAGATAATCTGGCACCCTCTCTCGTCAAGATGAAAAGAATTCGTTTGGAAGAAGCCGCAGCTCGCAGAGAACGAGGCGAATCGACACTAGTACCTCCCAAAGCAGCCAAACCCGCTCCACCAAAAGAACCAATACCACCTCCACCCGTAAAGAAACCCATCAAAAAGACATCCAAGAAAATGGGAGATGTCGAAGTCGAAGAAGCAATGCGTGAACGAATGGAAGAACAAGAACAAGCCGCAGCCGCAGAACGCGATGCCCAACTCGCCATCATGGCAGATGTCGACATAGCCGATGTCCAAAAAGGTATAGAAATCCTAGAAATGTCGGTTGGTCGAACACGCGCCATCACCCGTCCTTCCGCGCGAGCAGATGATAGTGAGCGTTGGGACGATAATTGGAATGGCCGTCGTAACTTTAAGAAATTCCGCCGACGAGGTGCACCTCCTACGCGAGGCCCCGAAAGAGTCATCATCTCCCTCGAAGAAGTCAAGAGCAAAGAATTCGGCATCGGAGACGAGTACTGGGTCGAATCCGCCTCCGCAGATCGCGAAACTCAACGACGCAGTCAAAAGGGTAAAGGACGAGCCGCACCCGAGGAAGAAAGTTCCGACTCCGATATTCCAATGAGAAACTCGAGACGCTCGAAAGAACGCTCTGCTCCTATCCCTCGAAGTAGGACCCGAGATGTCACACCCGCGGTCGTCATCCAGAGCTCGGAGGATGAAATCGTTGATGATGAGGAGGAGTTTCTTGGGGATGCGGCACTTCTTCCTCCGCCTTCAAAGTCGAGGAGACAAGCGAGGGTTACGTCGCAGGGTAGTGCGACGTCGTCGACGTTGCCACTTGAGGAACCGACAAGTTCGTCGAGGAAGAGAAGTGCGGAACCTCTTCCTAAGCCTGCGCCGACGAAGAAGGTTCGTCAGGCTACTATTGGGGATGTGGTGGGGAGGAGGGCTAGAGCTCCTGTGGAGGAGGATAGCGATGATGATATGAGGTTTGGGTTTAGGAGGCGGTAGGAGATTGTGGGATGTGGATGTGGATGTGGATAGGTGCGTTCAAGTTACATCAGGGTGGATATTAGGAATGGGGTATCAAGTGTTATTTTATTTCTGAGGGTAGGCGGTGTCCACCGCCTTCTTCTCCTACTAGCTTTAGCCTATATACATATGCTCAGTCTATGAAGACCATCTATCTACCCTATCTAATGCCCGTATCCGACCCATGAAAACCAGACAGACGCCTTCGCAAGCCATATAGTTCTCGCTCTATGCTAACAAAATCCATGACTCCCAAGACAATCCTGCCCGCGGTTCAAATTGATGAATGTAGACAAGTAAGTGAAAAGGTGTCCATGTCCATGGGTTCTCACACATTTTGCTCGAGGAATGAAAACTCGTCGTGTGCTTGAACCGGGTGGGTGTTCTTAAAGCTTGACCTCAAGACAAGACAAGAAGCCTACACCAAATAGATGAATGGTGTTCGAACCGGATACTCTCAAGCTCATCTCACACTTCCGCATGCCAGACCCCACAAATCACAATCAAAACCCTCAGTTTCAGCATCACAACTCAATCCATATCCTCCATCCCCTCCCCCACTTCCCCTCCCCCTCCCC